CGAGATCGTACTCATAGAGTGAACCGGGATAGATGACAACACCGCTTTGTCAATGTGATCCTACCCGCAAGCTCAGGAACCGGCCTTTCCAGCCCGCCAGTCTCGAAGCCACCTTTTCAAGAATCTCACCAAAGGTGTCTTTATTAATTCTCTTCTGCAAAACTGGCATACCCAAGTATTTCCCCAAGTCTTTCATCGCCTTAATCCCACTCTCATCACTTATCAACTTCGCTCCCGGTGAACATTGTTAGAGAAATAAATCTTCGACTTCTCTAAACTCACCTTCTGTCCGGAGGCAATACAAAATCTCTCCAACACTTTCCGTATAACCCGAATCTGCGACACTGACGCTTCCGCAAAGAGTATCAAGTCATTCGCGAAGCAGACATGTGACAATTTCGGGCCACCACATGATAGACTAATCGGCTTCCACTCCTTAGAAGCTATTGATAAGTCGATTTGATGGCACAGTCTCTCTAGACACAACACAAACAGGTAGGGAGACAGTGGATCTCCCTACCGAAGTCCCCTGGATGGTTTAAACGCTTCCGTTTTTTCACCATTCCACAACACATTCATAGACGGCCCCGTCACACACAACATAATCCAAAGAACCCATTCCTCCGGAAGTTCTGCCGCGACCAATGTATCTTCCAAAAAATCCCAACGTATACGATCGTAAGCCTTTTCCAAATCAAGCTTAAGTAGCATCCACCCTTTTCGTCCTTTCTTTCTTCGCATCGAATGAACCGCCTCCTGGACTACTATTATATTATCCGTACTCAATCTCCCCGGGATAAAGCTGGATTGAGCTGGCCCGATCAGCTTTGATATAACCTTCTTGAGCCGCAACACCATAGCTTTTGTAATTGTTTTAAACAAAACATTACATAAGCTAATCGGTCTAAACTGCGTTATTCTCTCCGGCTTCTCAACCTTGGCGATCAATACAATCAAAGCATCATTCAGCTCCGAAGGTATACTACTCGTATTAAAGAACTCAAGAACAAACCGAACAACTGAATCTCTGACGGTATCCCAACAATCCTGGTAAAACCCAGGCTGATACCCGTCTGGGCCCGGAGCCTTGAATTGGCCCATGCTGCGAACTGATTCTTCCACCTCCGCCGCTGTGAAAGGCTTTCGCAGCCCAGAAACTTCTTCCCTTGTTAATCGGGCAAAATCAATTCGAGGAAGCTGCTCAACAACCTGATCCACATCCTCCATTGAGTATAGCCATTTATAATAGGCAACATCAAGTGTCTCCAATTCCTGTGAATCCGAAACCCAATTTCCTTCCTCATTTTTCAACATTTCTATTCGGTTTCTCCTCCGCCGTATAATTGTAGATGTGTGGAAATATTTCGTATTCCTATCTCCCAAAAATATCCATTTCTCCCTTGATTTTTGGTACCAAAGAACCTCTTCCTGCTCAAGTACCGTATCAAAATCTCTGATTAATTCCTCTTCCCGCCTCAATAACGCATCTGTCTGATTCACATCCAATAAATCTTGAACAGATTTAATGTCAGCTTCCAGCTTCTCTTTGCGTTTCTGAATATCGCCAAATATTTCCCGGTTCCATTTCTTTAACTGCACCTGTAAACCTTTCAGCGCATCCATCGTATTTATCTCACCGTTCCAAGAATTCAATAATAATTCCTTGAAGCCCTCATGCTTCAACCAAGCCGCTTCAAAGCGAAAAGGTCTCCTGCTTCGATTACCTTTCGATTCCGGCTGTAATTGGACATACATTGGAGCATGATCAGAAGATAAGAACGGGAGATGAGTGACAACAGCCTCTTGCCATCTCAATCTCACATTCGCACAGCACATCACCCGATCAAGTCTCTTCGCCACAAACGTG